TATTAAAATATAAATTCATATACATAAAAAATAATAAATAAGCTAATAATATACTTATCTTTTGATCAAAATCATTAAATATAATCAAATTCAAATTTTGATCTTGAAATATTTTAAATTCTATTTTAGCAAGTCTGCAATCTATATTGTGCAATTGATCATGTGTACACAAATTTTCAAAATCATCCACTATAAATAATAATTTATCTTTGAGATTGTCAAAAGGTTTGTTTGAAAATTTTAATATCATCATTTAAAATGTATAATATTTCTTCTTCAAATATCCATCTATGATAAGAATCATTACAAAAAAAACAAGAAATATCCAAAAATATATTTTTTTCATTGAATTTAAGATCATCAAAGTTGATTTGTAATGTATTTTAATTTTTTTCCATCTCTACTTCCATTATATCTTGCTCGCAACAATCTATACATAATTTGCTCCTATATTTGTAATTATTTGTTTTCATAAAAATAAATATTAATCACTTCCAAACTCAATGGAAGTCTATAAAAACTATTAATAATTTTAGCAATAATATTTTTTAAATATAATAAATAAGATTCATTGATTGCAAAGGTATGCATAGAAAATAATTCTATAGATTGGATTCTAACAAAAATTTTCAAATCCACTTTGCCATGTTTTGATACATATTATTTTAAATAACTTTAAATTTGACTAATTGCAACTAATTTATTAGCATCATCATCTTCAAACTTATCAACACCGAATAGTTCATCCAATTGACTCTCACTTCTTGTATCATCTAAGATAATAAAAACCTCGTTTGTTTTTTGAACATATTTTAAGATGTCTTATCTTTTTTACAAAGAACATACTTGAGCTTGCTTGTGCAAATTTTCTAACTTTTTTCTTAACATAAATCTGTATTTTCTATTCTTTAATTCATCTACAAAGCATATTGCTTCAAACTTGAGAAAGATATGGCTACTTAGAGCCTTGGCCAATGTTGACTTGCCAATTCCACTTATTTAAATTATTTCTAAATTAACAAAAATTTGTAGTTTGCTTTTTAATTCAATTAATTTCTTATCTAAACTAATTAATTTCAAAATTTTGGTAGTTTTTTCATTTACTTGTAATAATTCACGAGCTTTTAAATTTGAATTTTAACATAATTTATATGAATTTTAATATCTTTATATACCTATTAAGATTTAAGTCACATATTATATTATATTATAGTATTTTTTATAATTATATTATAATACAAAAAAACCATATACCTTATTAACAGTTTGATTTGATAAACCAATTTGTTTTTAGTTAACTACCAATTGTGTGGTAGGATTAATTTTTCTAATTTGAGATGCAAATCATAAGTATTGAATAAAGATGGAAAAATATTATCAAAAAAACAAGAGAAATTGTTGAATAATATTGCACAAATTATCTTTGAAACTTATCTATTATTACTTTGAATCTAAAACAATGTCAATCTATGGTATATAGTCTTTATCTTTGAGGTCTTTATTTCGCCAAGGACCTTGGAGCAATGTTTTCTTTATCATTATCAACCTTGTATAAATCTCAAGGAATGTAGATTTCTTTAATGGATCCAACAACTAACAATTTTCTATCAATAATTTTAATTCTTTTGAATAAGATTTTGGCAAATTAGGCCTTTTATCTCTTTCTATAGTTTCTTGATAAGCACTATAAAAGTATACACCACCAAAATATTTTATTCCTGAAATAATCTCACTATAAAACATACCAAAATTAAACACATTGACTTTTAAAGCATCCACCTTTTGCAAGGATTTTTCTTACTTCTCTATAGCCTCAGATGCTATGTATCTAATGGTTCCTAAAGAACTTCTTCTTGTACATACTTATAGATTGTTTTTCACTTCAACCTTTGAAATACCAAAATTAAGCAACTTCACATATACAAATTCTAAATTAACTATCTCTAAGATGTCTAATGAATTTACAATAACATTATCAAACTTTAGGTCATGATAAGCTACCTTCATGTCATACATATAGCACATTCTATTTGCAATTTGTAGCATAATGTCTATTGCAATTTCTTTTGAAAGTAATCTTTATTTTTTTAACATATTAAATAAAATCATCTTTCATCTTTTTATGAAAAATTTAAATTATTTCTTTTCTTTAGAAAAATCACAATAAAAAAGATTAATGAGATTTGAATGACTTAATTTATTCAAAATATTATCTTTTTTTTAAAATAGTTTTCTTTTTAATTATTTAAAATTATTAAAAATAAAAATAAAAAATCTTTTTTGTATTTTCTATAATTGACTATTTTTTTGGATATATCCACATTTTTTCACTTCTATCTAATAGAACTTATAGTCTTTCATATTCAAGATGAAAATATTCATCAACGAAAATAATAATGTCGAATTCTCTCCCTTCAAACTTTTATATACTACTTATTTTTGCTATAAGATAATATGCAAATTCACCATCTTTACTTCTATATGATGGTTGTTGTATAATTCCATCAAGCATCTCATTCAATGGCATCATATCTTCATAAACTTCATCAATGCATGTTGGAAAAATATGGTCCTTCTTTCTATCTCAATAGTTTTTTTCATTTGATTAAGATAACATTAAAAATGCTACTTATGGTATCAAAAGAATAATCTAAGTTAATAAGAAGTTATCTAAAAGCTTCTTCATTATTGATTTGCACTACTTCACTCTTTAACCAATCCTCTTTGCAACACTTTTCAATCAAGTTTCTTAATTTTCATATAATTTTGAACAATTTTTTTTTTTTGCTCCATCAAACGCATATAGACAAGAATCACCAATAATAGTTTGAATTGTTTTTAGATTCCTTGAAAAATTGCTCAACAAATCCTTACATTGTCTTTCAGTCAACATCTTTTTTTTAATGATGTTGAATCTTTCATTATAATCTCCATTGATGCTTGCAAAAAGTCCATTTTATAATAGTATGGTAAATTTTTTTGCTTTTAGTAAGGATTGAATTAATGTGAAGTAAAGAATTCAATGGAAATGCACAATAAATCCTCTAATATTCACAAAACTTAGTTAAGATATTATCTAGTTTTAATCCTATATCATATTGATTTCTAAAAATAAGCTTAGCAAAAACCATCAAATATATAATTATAAAATATTATTAATATAGTTACATCCTAATGACATATTAATATAATACACCAATAATCTATACCTTTACTAAAAGGCTCACAATACAATATAATATAAACTAATGAACTAAGGTGACTTATAAGTATAACAAATTTATTAACTTTCAATAGGCAATAGTTCATATTATGTCTAAATATTCTTAAAATCAAAATTCAATTATTCAATTGCAAAGCATATAGTAAAAAAATATCTCAAATTTTTTAAAGAATCATTCCAATGTAAATTTCATAAACAACTTTGCTACCTTTAAAATAGACTTCCAATTGGAGCTTTCAAAAAATATATATGTTCATCTAAATTACTTGATATATTTCAAGTTTGTAGAATTATACACCTATCATTTACAAAATCAAGCACCATTAGATTAGATGTTAAGATTAAATCTCCATCAATTTACTAAAATAAAAGGTATAACTTCTATATAAACTTAGAGACATTATTATAATCTTCTTGTAAATTACTTTGCAATCTTAATTAATATCTACAAGTTTTTGTTATACAATTAAATAAAAAAATAATGTTACACTAATATAATGATCTATATATCTAATCTTATAGTATAAGTAAGATGATTCAATATAATCTAAAGTTACAATTTTTATTTTTTATTTTTTTTACTACATCCAATTAAATTAGATAATATTTTATTTAAATATTGTACAAATCATTTAGAATTTAGTAGCTCTATTTACATAAAATAAAGCTTAAGAAATTTAAAAAGTCAAAAAATAATTACTCTTTGACATATTATCCAATTTTATCACTTAGATTGAAAACTTTTAATATACAACAATATGCTACAACCAAAAGACCCTAACCTTAAACATACAACTTAACTAATTCATCATTCCAAGTATAGACTTAATTATTCACCTCTAATTCTCAAGTATCAATTTAAAAAATTAATTGCCACATAATATTTAAATAATAAAAATATTATGTATACCACTACAATGATATGTTTAATAATAGAGGCAATAAAATTACACAAACAATAAAAAATAATAGCAAATACAAATATAATTTAAAAGAATTGATACAAAAAAGAAAAAAATATAATTAAGAAAGAAATTTAAATCAACATACTATACTATCTAAAAGTAATCTTAACAAGTAAATATAATATTTTTTAAAAAAAATCAATTATAAAAACTAAAAGAATCTCAATTTTATAATCATGCTTAATGTTAATGTCATGCCAACCTCTTTATATCTTATTTGACTCAACATTTAAAAAAAAATCAAGGCTTAAGTGACAATAATATGATTATCAATATTTAATGATAGGACTAAATTCTTATTCTAAAACATGTGAGATATAAAAATATAAATATTTAACATAATATTATTAAATTTAATAATTTATATATGATTAGATATATAAATACATCATGATAATGGAAATATCTATATATTGATTTTACTTTGCTACATTTTACAATCTATTGGCTAATAACATGGTATAAATGTTAGAATGTTATTTATTTAAGTAAATTAATAAATATATAAAAAAACTAGTATATGTAATCTTTTGCTTAACTATTAACAAATTTGAATACTTCAAATTACTAACTATCATTTTGGATAAGAATTCTATTAAGGACTAGAAACTATTATTTCAAATATCATATTCTTCAATATTAGTTTATTGAGAATCAAATCAAAAATACATGTATTGATTGAATTACAATACCAAATGTTGATAGTACAATATAGTTGATTCACTTTTAATTCACAACAAAATCTCCCAATCCAAACCAATCCAAACCATGATCATACCAACCTCCAATTGTCAATTATAAGCTTAAAAGAGTTGTTTCTAAAAGTGCATGTAATTATCAATGCATTGTAATGCAAAGTTGCATCAAATTACAATGAATGAAGTAAACAATACAAAAAAATTCAAAGAAAATACTCTACAAAATATATGGTATATGGTAAAAGTTCTACGACAAACATGGTAAACTGTATAACGATTCTGTATCGCATTATATATGGTACATGGTAAATATTCTACTACATATATGATAAACTGTATGTAGATTCTGTATCGTATTATATATGAACTCGGTATAGTACGAAATCATAATTGAAATCCTCCATGTCTATGCACCTACCTAGAACCAAACTGGTTGACAACCTGCTCAAGACTCTGTTCAGGTACAACGATGCGTACAGTATAAATTCAGAATTTAAAAGTTTGTCAAGTAATTCCTCATCACGATTTTTGCTTGCTCAACATGGAGGACTTAACTCAACCTGCTTGAGAAAACTGGAGTATTAAGCAATCAGAAGTTTCACTGTTGCAGATATTGAAGTGTGCAAGATTGTACCTAAATCCCATTATTGACACTCTACAATTACCTTTATAACTATCATTCTTGCATCATGTATTAGAAAAAAAAGGTACAGGAACACAGAGAAAAACAACTTATTCGTATTAATCAATTTCGGGACCACACTCGACTGCAGTTGAAAGACGAAAACTGTATCCTCACACAAGTAACGACAAATTTAAAAGACCGATTGGCAACTTTCTACTCGCTCTGACTGCATTGCTGACTAGCCTATATTGACACAAAATGAGGGGCTCATTTTCCTCAATCAAACAACCGAAACATACAAAAAAACCATGTAGAGGATTAAACAATTATCTATCGACAATATTAATGCAATGGTTAAAAACACCAAGGACTGAAAAGTACTGCAAAGGAAAAAAAAAAGTTTTGAAGCAAAAAGTTGTGAGAAGAAAATTGATTAGAAGGGTCGGCGTCAAAAAAACAAACAGCTGTGGGAAATCATTCTTTTACTCTAAAAGGTTTAATTGAAAAAAATCAGCAGAGACTATTCTTCAGTCGAAGATCTATATTCTCACCGAGAGAGCATGTTAATCTGCTCTTCGCGTTCTTACGATAGCCTTGTAGAAGCTTAACCCAAAATCCCTCCCGTCCCTATTTACAACGCATCTAATCCAGGCAATGGACACCACTACCACAATCACCATTTCACTACAGCAAGTACCTAACGACTCGAGCATCAAACTACAACCCGCCGCAATGTAGAGAACCAGAAACACCAAGTCCCCATCTTCCCAGCAGTTTGTCAAGAAATTCCTTTATTCCACAAACATGAAGGAAGTGATTAGAGATGATCCACCTTCAAAGACTCACCTTGCATGGCGATGAGGGTGTAGTATCAACCCTGCTTCGACTACAAAACAAAGAATGATGTTATCGCCACCTCCGCTGCTATGGCTCCCAAGTAGCATCACAGTCGTCGATCTATCATGTTCAGTGCTATTTGCAACAGATAACCACAAGTATTGACCTAAAAATTAACGCTCATGCGTCGCAAGAGCTCTAACTTCTAGCGTACCGCCTCAAAATCCCCACCAATTGTTTCACATCCACGAACACAAACACACCTCAAGAGCAGTAGGAAGTGAAAGAGCCACGAATTGTCTTAGCCGAGCCTAGACTGCAAACATTTCCAGACGACGACAACCCACAAACGATACTGCTCAAGCAACCAAAAATTACCCACAGAAGTAGTTTCTACAACTTCTGGTGAGGGTGAGCGGTACAAGCTTTGCAGAAGCCAAGGCTGTCGCTGCTTGAGATCCGGCCACGCCATTGCTGGAATCTACACTGATTGGTGGCCGGCCCTCATCCGAGAGTTGGATGAAACCTCTGTAGTGTTACCGATGGCAAATACGGAGGGATTCTTGTTCTTTTATACGTTGATTAGAATGGTTCTGAAGAATACTGGTACAGCTCGAAATGAGTGTTTACAAGAACATCATGAAAATATGTTGTTATAAAAGGTAGTCTCATTCTATGGAGGAAAGCATTTCGTGATGCACGTGCTTTTTGCTCACTTGACATATCCTCTGTTCTGTACTTACTACGTCGCCTTCATAGTTTTTTTAGCAAGAACATTTATCTACGTATTTTAGGCTAATTTATTTTTGATTATGTGGTTGATCAGGTGGGATTGTTTTGATTGGAGAACTTGATCAACTGGGTGCTGGAAGCAGACGAAGAGTTTTTATGCATGGATTTTCATGTTTTTATGCAAGGGTGAAGAGCGCTTCATTGAACCTTCATCTGAATTGAGAAGCTGATGCTGCCCACTATGCGTTAGGCGGTGATGGACCAGTTAGTTCCATCAAACATGGAGGTATGGAGGCGTTACCTTATACATGTATACTGAATGCTTTTTCTTATTGGGTAAAATATTCTTCTGTGTCAAGATTTATCTTAGGTATTCATGCCCGTATGATTCATTAGAAGCATACGAATTCTTGTTGCATTCAAACAGGTCATAAGAACATTGAAGTTTTTATAACTGCAGCATTCACAAGGGCTCTAGAGTTATGTGTAGTACATGTGTTTTTCTTGCATGTTTTTTTTATCCTTATGTACAGCATTATTTGATTCACTCTATCTTCTTTGAGGACTTTATAGTATGTGAATCAATTTATGAGAGTTTCTGGCTAGCCAAACACAAGTTTCCACAAGGTCGCGTGTGGTTTTAGCGGATTGCAGTGCCAAGCACTCCAAGGAGATGTTGGCGTATGAGTCAGCCAGGTAGCAGAGCGCGGAGTATGAATGCGCAGTGACCGTTTGGTGGGCACGGTCAATGGGCGAGAGTATTGCTAACTAGACCTTTACAGACTAGCTCTGTGAAGTACTCTTCTAGCTCTATTAGATTCCTGGTTTGCTAACGAGTTTTCTTGTGTAATTCCTTCCTCTGCTCTAGCTGCTGGCCCTGCTATTGTTTGAATTGCAACAAAATTACCTTTCAAAGGTGCTTAGGCCCGACCGGCTACCATATTTAGGTCCACTTGGTTAGAAACGGCTCAAAATGGGTGTAAAATATTTGGCTAAGGATACACTTCACTATACTGGTACTAGCGCGTAGCAAAAGAATGCATTCAGGAAACCAAATTTGCTAACTAGACCTTTACAGATTGAGCTCACTAGACCTTTACAGATTTTTGCAAGTCTGCTATCTCCAAGAGCACATGAAAACATATCCCATAAAACAAGTGGAACCTCGATAACCAAAGATCCTACCTCCAAAACTCGAAGAGACCTAGAAAACTCACCCAATCATATCCAACTCACACATGGAGTCACAAACTGAACTGGATAAAATACAAGACACTCAGGGTCGATCACTCCCTCTTAGGATCTCATTATCTCTAGATAGCTTTCACTCCTACAAATACAAAATGGTCAAACTTGCAAACTATATGGTCCTTGGACACATTACATCCCGCACATTGGGAGCAAGACAATTATCTATTTGGGCCAGAGCTAGTCTATATAGATCCTTCCAGCAACTTACAATCCGCTTCAACAATTATTTTGAAATACAATTTTTACAAGAAGAGGACAGACTTCACATACTCTCGGAACAGGGATTTACATTGGAAGGAGGTAATATAACATTTTACAGTTGGTCTCCCTATTTCAATACTAATCATCATATCAAGAAATTGAATCTTAAGATCAGAATATGGGCCTAGATTTGGGAACTACCTCCTTTCTTAAGAATGCAAGAGTTTTTGAGAGCTACCTTCAATGTCTTCAACGAGATTCTGTTTGTGGATGATGCCGATACGTATTTAACTAAGATCTCGGGTCCTCGAGTTCGTATATTGAGTTCATAAAAAAAAATGTCAAAGCCGTAACTCAATCGATTCTCCTGCCACGACTAGATGGCGAAGAAAGAGATTGAATATATGTTGGAATATAGTGGCTTGATCTCCTAGTGCAGCCGCTACTAGTCCTTCAACCAAATTGTTTAAAAATGCTCGATCCCACATTATCCTACGACTGAACAGTTCCCAAAAAGATATCAGTGGGACATCCCAAAGGAACCGACAACCTCCAAAATACCTAACAAACCACAAAGCTCAATCACACCCCAGAATCATAACATCCATTTGACCTAACCAAATACCCACCCAACAATATTTATTTAGCAACTAAAGATCCTAACTAACATTCCAACTCCTAACCCTGAAACACAGCTTACGGAAGCCCATAGCTATTGCACGGCACAACTTCACCATAGCTTCTAGTCCTTCGTCATCCCTAGCCAACCACCAGAAAATATAATACCTTGTGCAATTATTATACCACCTTTCTACTGACTTAAAGCAGACCTACTCAAAACGTTGATCAAAAAAGAAGATCTAACACCACAATCAACTTCAATCTTTCAACTCACACATAGCTTCGAGAAAAAACACTGGATAGCATAGTTGGCTAAAATGCATATAGTAAATGAGACAATGCTTCACCTACGGAGCAGAGTCATCCTAAAACAGAAATATATCACTGCAATCCAGAAGTGGGACAATGTAAGTTGGATCTACTCATGGACACATTTTTCCCCAGAAAAAGCGATCTGCACCATCGTAGTCCTTATCAATTACAATGACGCCATATGTACTTAGAGAAATGCCAACAGGAAGATGTGGACTCTCCTTCCACCACCCCTGCAGAACCACCTACCTCACCAAGCACAGGCATGGGGCTTGCACACAACCGAACTCTCCACCTTCTTGGGCCTTAACACATCCATGCTGCCAAAAGATATGTTCTCTAATACAACTATCGCTCCAACACGGAGAAACGAAGCCTTCACAAGGGAGTCCGCAACCCCACAAACAGACACCCAACATACTAATCACCTCGTCATAGCGTCGCTTAACATCTAGGGCTTTGGACGTAATCTAACTGGGGTACGTAAGTAACGAGAAGTTAGGGACTTCTTTCACGAATCCCACCTTCGACTTGAGATAATCCTCATTCAAGAACATAAATTATCTCTTACAGAGAAGAAAACTCATATTGGAAAAATTAAATACCCCAGAGGGTTCTCCGTTTAGAATGAGGCAACTTATAACGTATCCACGAACAATTTTGAGGGGAGTATGGGCATACTCTTATCAGCAAGACTCTCCAACTTAGCATGCAAACACGGTGAAATTATGAAGGGTCAAGCTTAATTCATCACTATACAATGGACCTATAGAATTAAAATCAAGATTCTAAACGTAAATGCCTTTAATTACATGGAATCTTGCACCAGACTCTAGAACAAAATTAGATATTTCTCCCTCATCCCCTTCCCTTCCCCGTTCACTGGGTTTTAGGGGAGGATTTCAACATGATCGACCAGCTTGATGATTAACAGGGTGGTCTGCCCACAACAGGCTGGGAATAACGTGAAATTGTAGGTTAGAGCGACTTAGTAATCCACTTAGGCTTGCAAGATTGTTTTTGTGTAGATGAGTTCGACAAACTTTCTCCAAAGAAGTTCACATGGAATAATAAAAGATCAGCACCAAATATGATTTGCTCGAGACTAGATCGAATCTATATGTAGAGATAGAATTTCCAATTGATCCTCTCATAGGCTTTTTCATAAGAAACAATAACTCAAATGGGCTTCCCTCAAGGGTGGGTGGATTTAATAATGTTCTTCTACAAAGAAGCTTCAACCTAACTTATATTAAATGGAATTTCAAGTGAATAATTTTTATTATAAAGATCAATAAGACAAGGTTAGCTTAGTATCTCTACTTGATTGTTAATAATGTTTTGCTAATTTGACTAGATCACTAATTGGATTCAATGTTCTTGATGCCCACTCCACCACTAATTAGATGTATGCAGATAATACGGCCCTATTTCTACAAGGAAATGAATCCAATTTAGACATAGATATAGCTATAGAAATTATCACAGCCTATTGTGCAAGTAGGTGAGCAAAGATCAATTGGCACAAATTAATAGGGATTTGAGCATTCATACAGCTTTACACTTGGTAGTAGAAAAATGATTCCAAATTGAAAATGGCTAATTTCAAGTAGCACAACGAGATATTTAGGCTTTCCAATCAGCTTACTAGTGCTATCAGAAGACATAGCTAATAAGATTATTTATCTAAAGTACCACAACCAAGGGCTCTTAAAATTTATTCTTTACTAGTAGAATCATAATCACAAACCAAGGTATACGTGCAATAATGTGGTCTCTTTGTTCCTATTTTGCAACCATAAAAATAAAGTTTAAAATAATCCAAGCTATAATGAGGAATTATATTTAAAAAGTCAAAATTGAATCAACAATTAGAACCAAAATTAGTTGAATTGGACTTATTTAGCCTCTAGACTATGAAGAGATAAAGGTGCTTAATTCAAATTTCTAGACATAAGCCTTTATGACTAAATTAATTATCAAATACTTGAAGTTAAGTTATAAACTTGAATAAATCTTTCCTTGTCATTATTTCAACCAAAATAAATCTAGTGGAGTAAAGAAATAGTTTTAGAATTTGTATTAAATAATATCCAATAGAATATCTTTACATAGCTCTTCTTCCATCTATAGAACTATCTTTCAAACATGCTAAGTAATAAAATCCGGATTACATCAATTCTCACTTGTGCATGTAAGTAAATTCTTATGTCAACTTCTATTCAAAAACTCTTTTATTATATAACCTTTAGGCGACCAATTTGGACTAGATCTAAACTTAATTTTTTCAACATGGATAAAAAGAGGGAGGTCTTTCAACTTAAGGATATATTCCACCTACCTTTAAAATACTAGCATACTAAAAACTTTATTAGGATAGCCACAAGTCCAAAAACAATCCCAACACAATAAATAGTTGTTAGATCAATAATCTTCTAAGACCTGCTTCAACACACATCACTAATCAAAATTTATAATCTTTGAGATTCATAAATTTAATGTTAAACAAGTAATAATATATAGGTTTTTAAAAACATCCTATTTAAATAATTTATATATACTTGTAATATGTCATCAAATTTGATTGTTGCCTAGATTGTTAATAATGTGATTCAACATGTTTGATATCACCAAAGTGAGAAGACGACTCTATTATTTGGTTGTTGTGGAAGCCTTTGTAACTTTCTTCAAATAAAATATTTGAAACACCATCAAGAATTATTTCTACCTCTAATAAAATCACCAAACATCAAAAATCTCTTCCAATGTTGTAATACCAAACACATTGTATCTCATCTGGTAAGTAAAGAAGGACATGTCATTCTTGAAGATCTTCATCTCGATTTCATCATCTTGTAGGTTGGAATAATATCTCATCTCATAAGTCTACAAATAAAATTTCTTGAATTGAATCTGCTAGTTGTTTATTTTCCATCTCCTTAGCATCACAAATACACAGAAGCTACAAAAAAAGATAGAAGGTAGAATGCAAATTTCTCTGGACCTTATTTCTTTTATAGCAAAGACTAACTATTCTTCATCTTAATTTGGATGGATGTCATTAATAAAAAGCCTCTACTACCTTTATTGCATTTGTAAGATTCTTTACTTCCTCCCATGTACATTCATTAATATCATATCCGTGCCAATGGACAAGATATTCTTATTTATTTCAATGCCACCTTGAGTCTAGAACTTCTTCTTTTTTGAATTCTTTATTATTATTCATCTCTATAAGAGGAGGTAGAGCCTGTCTTCTTCTTAGTATATTCATAGTCTTGTATGGTTCAAGAAGAGATATGTGAAAGATAAGATGGATCTTCATTGCCTCCAATAGATATAATCGATAAGCAACAAGATTGATTTATCTACAAATAGAAAAAAGTCTAAGCTTGTGGTAGTCCAATTTATCACAAGGATAAGTAGTCTTGATATTATAATAAAGCAACCATACCTTGTCACCTATATTAAATTTTGGTTCTTCTTTTTGATAAGCATCCACATTTATCTTTTATCACTCTTGAGCTTCCTTTAATTGGACCTTCATTATTGCATGTAGCTTTGATAAATGATTTGCCAAACCTTCTGCTATAAGATTATTAACTTTTTAAAAGTAAAAAGTATCAAGGTATAGATGGTAACCATAATTGACAAAGAAAGGTGTTTCTTCCATAGAAGAATGTATCGTATTATTATAAGCAAATTTTATCAATGATAAGAAGGTTCTTCAATCATATTGTTGATAATTTATAGTACATCTTAAGTATTGCTCCAAAACTTGGTTTACATACTTCATCTATTTATCAATTTGAGGATAAAAGGCCAAAAAAAGCTTTATATCTATTTTTAATATCTTATAAAGAATTCTCTAAAATCTTGATATAAATTGAGTCCTCTTATCTGATATAATATTTTTTAGCAATCCATGATATCGATAGATATTGTCAAAGAAAAGCTTGACAATTTCTTCACTTGTGATAGAATTTGTACATAGTATAAAATATGTCATTTTGATCAAATAATTTACTATCATAAATATAGAATCACACAATCCTAAGATTGGAAGATCAATAATAAAATCTATAGAAATAGAAGATCATAGTTGTTTTAGAATAGGTAATGGTTGAAGAAGTCTGTAAGATCAATGCTGAGGAATTTTTGACCTTGAACAAATATTACACGATTGAACAAAGTCTTTTACAACCTTTCACATTTGGCGCCACCAAAAATCTCTAAATATTAGCTCCAGAGTCTTATTGTATCCAAAATGTCTTGCTACTAGAAAGTCGTGACGTGCTTAAAGAATATGTAAACATACTTCTCTTATTGGCACATATAGGCATCCTTTGAAATAAAATAGGTTGTTTTTAAATTCAAATTTAGATGTATCACAAGACTTAGAAGAAGTATTCTTGATATCATGAACAAGAAGGTGCGAGGACATACTTGATTGAATTTGTTTGAGAAAAGTTGAATTAACAATCAATGTTGATTTCACTCCTCAAAAATGAACTTATTTTGGCTTCAATAAAATTATCCTTTGTTAATCAAAAGCTACATCTTCTTCTTTAGGAATAAGATAAGAATTTTTGGAAAAGACATCAAACAAATCTTATTATTTTTTTGGCCAATAAGTGATATTGAACTCAAATCTTGATAAAGACATGCTCCAATGAGCTTGGCAATAATTCAAAACACGAGCTGACATGAAATACTTGAGATTCTTATGATCCATATATACAGTGATTGGACTAGAAGTGCCTTCTAAATAATGATGCCATTCTTGAAAAGAATCCATAATTGCAAGAAGCTCTTTGTCGTGAAACTCATAATTTTTCTCAATTATTGAAAATTTCATGGAATGAAAAGCTACTAAGTGAATTTTATCATCTATTTCCATTTGTAATAATATGGCATCCAAAGCAAAGTTTGATGCGTATGTTTCCATAAAGAATGTCTTAGAAAAGTCAATACAATACAAGATTGGTGCAAAAATAAGGTTATCTTTAAAGCTTCAAATGTTGCTTCCGCTTCTTGATTCCATTGAAGTTTGTCTTTACAAGTCAAACATATAAGTGGAGTTGCAATTTGACAGAAGTCCTTGATGAAGATTCACTAGTATTTGGCAAATCCCAAAAAATATTAGACATTTCAAACCGTTTTTGGAAACTTCCAATCCATAATAATTTGAATTTTCTTAGGATCCATCATAAGTCCATCATTTGAAATAATATAACCTAAAGAGTCAACTTGAATAGTGTAGAATATATACTTTTTTAACTTGGCATAGAGTCTCATATCTCTTAATTTTTGTAACACATGATGAATATGAAGTTTATGTTTTTTTGTATTTTTAGAATAGATTAAGATATCTTCTGATAATAGACAACAAAATCATCCAAAAACTCTCAAAAAATATCAAACATGAGATTTTGAAAAGTTTCTTGTGCATTTATAAGTCCAAAAAGCATGACATTATATTCAAAATGTCTTTATGTGATTCAAAAAGCAATCTTTCATTTATCTCTTTTTTTGATGCATATCAAATTATGTGCTCTTTATAGATCTATTTTTTGTATAGATCTTAGTTTGTTTCAATTGATTAAGAAGTCCAAATATTAAAGGCAGTAGATACCTATTCTTGATCGTGATCTTATTAAGTCATTGATAATCAACATACATTCGTAATGATCCATTTTTTTTCTTCACAAATAGAATTGAGGCTCTTGTTGGAGATTTAGAATGGCGTATGAAGTTCTTGGCTAGATTTTCTT